CTGAATAGACTATAGAAATCATCCTATAGAAGATTTGAAATGGTGTATAGGAAGTGCAGAAATGCAGTAAATTACTAAAAAACTACAAAACAACTCCCATTAAGACCAAAGAAATTCTCATCTACCCTTGGAAGTTCCAACAGGAAGTAAACAGGACACAAATAAAATCTAGAAAGTTTTCCACAATTGCAATGATTTTTGCTATATATTTGGAACTTAGCTTTCTGCACCAAAATAATAACAATGACAGTGAAGACAACAAACATTTATTTAGCACTTATTATGTATCAGATTTGATGCTAAGTACTTTATATATGCTTTTGTGTTTGATCCCTACCATAGACCTATTAGAATAATTGTCTCAATCTTATCAATGACAAGGTTAAAACAAAGTTTTTGTTATCTTTGAGAAAGTAGTCCAGTTTCTTAGAGACACATTAAATTGAAGAACATTCTTGGCAATGTCTTCAATGTTACCTGAATAAATGTAGAAGATTTTTCATAAGGATGTTCTTTTAATATCTTTTGGCCTTGAGCAAAGATTCTCATGCATAATAATTAGCTGGAGATTTCTTACCCTCCTCAAATTTGAACCTTATGATTTCTTTGCTCCTCAAAATGTGATTCTTATGACAGCACTCTTGACATGGCCTAGGAGCTTATTAGAAATGCAAAATCTGAGGCCTCACTCTGAAGGAATCCAAAATGTATTTTAACAAGATCCCCAAGTGATTTGGATGCGCATTAAAGTTGAGAAGTGTCATTTTAAGTGTAAAATATGTTCCAGGTTTCTGAATTTTAAACGTATTCCCAAAGTGATTTTGATGTAGGTGATCAATGATAAGATCACACTCTATAAAACATTGTCCCAGGATTTGATACTAAAATGCAATCCACAGACAGCATTACTGCAAGTAGTTGGGAATCAAGTGATTGCAGAGTCCAGACCACATGCAATGGGTGGGTGGAGCAGTATGTTTTCTGATGCTCTAGCTGAATCCAAGAAATAAACATAGGATTTGGCAGGGCTTCACTACTTTTTATTCCCTCATGTAGAGGAGAATGTATCCTTTAAACTAAGGGAAGTATCAGATTGTCCACTTCAGACATAAAACTATTAGAAGCCAAAATATAGCTAAAGCCTGTGTGAATGTGGCTTGATATATTTGTGTTTATATTATTTTTGGCTCTGCGGAGAGGTTACTGGGGATTGAACTCAGGGGCACTCGACCACTAAGCCACATCCCCAGCCCGTTTTTGTATTTTATTTAGAGATAGAGTCTCACTGAATTGCTTAGTGCCTCGCTTTTGCTGAAGCTGGCTTTGAACTCGCAATCCTCCTGCCTTAGCCTCCTGAGCCACAGGGATTACAGGCATGTGCCACCATGCCCTGCTCTTTATGTTTAATTTTTTAAAAAATGATTTAAATATAGCCAGGAAACAGTGACACACTCTTGTGATCCTAGCTACTTGGGAGGCTGAGACAAGAGAATTGCAAGTTTCAGGCCAGCTTGGCTATTTGGCAAGAACCTGTCTCAAAAATAAAAAGGGCTGGGGATGTAGCTCAGTGGCAGATTATCCTTGAGTTCAATCCCCAGTGCCAGGAAAAAAAAGAAAAGAAAAGAAAGAATTAAATAGTTACCACTGGGCCCAGGTGATGTAAGGCACATGATCTATTTTGTGACTGCAGGGAACCTGGTACATTTTTCACACATGCACCTAAAGAATGAGAGTATAGGTGGCAGAGGTAGGCTTGATGGGGGGCAAATCGAAATCAGTCCTTTTTATAGTGAAGAGAATAGCTGCTACAGGCTGCGGTGGTAGCTCCGTAGTATAGCACTTGCCTAGCATGTGTGAGGCACTGGGTTCAATCCTCAGCTCCACATAAAAACAAGTACAGTAAAGGTACTGTGTCCATCTACAACTGAAAATATGAGAGAGAGAGAGAGAGAGAGAGAGAGAGAGAGAGAGAGAGAGAGAGAGAGAGAGAGAGAAAATAGCTGTCACAAGGTGGAGCAAAGTCACAGAGTGTGTGAGAACCACAATCCTGGTTGACTGTCTCCTGAACTTTGGTCACCCTGGTTTTCTGGATTTTAACTCACAGGCATTCTTCACATGCAACTTTGTTGGTCTCTTAAATATGAGGAAGATAAGGAGAACTTGAAAATAGGAAATTATGAAAGAATAATTGACTTGTTAATTACACTAGCTGGATCAGAAAAAAAAAGATACACACACACACAAAAATAATTAGTTGTCACACTTATTTTTATTATATGTAAAACTTCTTCACAAGTTCACATAAAATCATAAGTCCAGTGGGAAGCAGAATGAAAAATTGGAAAGAGCATCCAGTTTGGATGCAGGCAGATGTGCACTGGAATTCTGGCCTTGGTAGGCCTTAAGACATTCACTGAACATTCTAAGCCTCCAGACCTTCTTCTGTAAAATGAGGACAGTCCTATCTACCTTATAGGGTTCTTGTGAGAATGCCCACAAAACGCTAACCTTAAACGGTAATGCCAATTTTCAACAAGAATAAAGTGCTTATTAATATTAAGGCATTAATATTCAACACATTTTATTGACTGCTTATTGGCCATGATGATGAAATCATAGATAATTAAGATATTGTCTCTGATTTTTAAAATACCTTTTTACTAGACACAATTAAAAATGAGATTATAGCAATTAAAAGAACCAAAATAAATTTTAATGTGTGAAACAGCTTATGAGCACAATGGTTTGTTGTTGTTGTTGTTGTTGTTGTTGTTGAAATGGGCATCTCTCTTTATTGCTCAGGCTGGCCTCAAACACCTGTGCTGAAACAATTTTCCCAAGTAGTTGGGGTGACAGGCCTGAACTATGATACTATGATGCCCAATTTGTAAGCACTTTTAAAGGATTATCTCAGAAAGTAAGTACCACATCCCCAGGCCATAGGAACTAAACCATTTTACATTTAAGAAACTGAGGCCTAGGGAGGTGCAGTATTTTCACCACTTAGGAAGCCGTGGAGCTAGGTAGGTTTCACCTCTGTGTACCCTGTCTCTGGGCCTTTTTAGACCACACTAATTCAGGTCTAGACTCAGCCAATGATTCAGTTCTAGGGTTTGCAATCTCTGCCTCCACATTGTATTTCCCAGATATATACATGAACTAAATCCCATTAATGCCATGAATCATATATGAATCCCATTTAAGTTTGACTACAATTATCACTTGAGTGGGCTGCCCACCTCTGGTGGTCTCTCCTCATGGCTAACCCATCCTTCCATGCTGCCAACAGTTATCTTTATGCAACACAAACCTGATCATGACACTTCTCTACTTAAAAGGCTCTCTATTGTCTACAGAACTATGTCCAAGAGCTCATTATGACACACACAGCCTCCCCCAGCTGGTCCTGACTTTCCTTTCTAACCTCTGCTTTGGACGTCCTGGCTCTTCATTGTATACTCTTACATAAGACAGATCCACAAGCAATTAGGGCAGCCTGGGATGCCACAATAAAACCTCCTGTGCAGCAATAGATAAATTAAAAAAAAAAAACAACTTTAAAATTTTGGTTTGGAGCTTTCCTCTACATTCTATTCTCTTGTAATAAAGTTAAAAGACTTGCTAAAAAATAAAATAAAAAAACCTTAAAAAAGAAATAAATTTAAAAAAGAAAAAAAACCTGTGCAATTAAAAACAATATCCACACTTTAAATTTTAAGTTATTTTCCACTTTCTATCTGACCTGGTATTTGGGTGAAAATATCTTGTAACCCTATTTGTAGGTCCCCAGAGTACAATGCTCCTTCCCCCTAAAATGCATTCCTTTCTCTTGCTTAGGAAAGCCAACTTCTTACTGATTGTCCTTTAGATTCCTTGGTTTAGAGTGTGACTCAGTGGTAGAATGCTTGCCTAGGCCGCATGTGGCCATACATTTGCTTCCACCATACACCTCAAAGAACAAAAGGCCATTTAAACCCTGCTCAAGTACCACGGCTCTGTGAACTCTACTCCCCAAACCTTCTCATGCAATCCCTTTTTCCCTCCTCAGGGCTCCCAAGCCCATGTTCTTACAAGAGAGAGTATTTTGTCTCCTACAGAAAGAATTATTGTATTGCTTGTAATTATTTATCAAGAGTAGACTGTTTGGGGCAGGTTCCCAATCTCTGAATCCCTAGTTCTTAGGTGTTCGGCTGGCTGTAAGAACACGAAAGTTTATCGCCTAATACATGAATGAATGATCAAAGTCTAAAAGTCTCTCTTTATATCTCAGAGGGAAAACATTTTGTCATGGACACGCCTTTGGACACATCACTTATATAAATCAGAGCCACAGTATTTGAGAAGGGATTGAAAGGAGCCACAAAAGGTGCCAAGTGGTAAACGTGTCTGGGAAGGGTGGAGAGGGGGAGCCAGCGACATCCTCTGAGTGACTTGTTCCTATACCATGCCTTTCCCACCATCCTAGAATCTCCAGCTACTTCCAGGATGCAGAAGATAAGAGTGTTCAAGATGGGTGTTTCTGTCCTCCTCCACTGAAGAGCTTCTCCCTCTGATTTTTAACAGCTAGGTCATTCACAAGACAGTGTTCAGTTTTCGTACTGGGGTTCAACATCTTGGAGTCACATCTCTTTCTGTTACAGAGACATCCAGCTCTGCACTTCCCCAATGTGTTCTGAAAAGAGCCTCACAAACGTCCCCACCCTCGGCCGAAGATATCTCCCAGGTCAGGAAGGGGCTTTCCAGCTGCTGGAGCTGCGATCGCGGCAGCGAGCGGAGCGGAGCCCCAGCAGAGGCAGACGCAGAGGGCGCCGCCCACGGCTGCCCGGGCTCGACGCGCGGGGCTGGGTTGCGGTTGGCCACAAGAGGCATCCATCTTCCGGGACGAGCCCGGCGTTTCCTCAGCTAGTGGGAACAGGGACGAGGGCGGAGAAGGGCTAGAGCTTTGTCCCCTCCCGCGAATCTAGCCCCGCCTCGCAGAGCCCAGAACTGCCACACGGGCGGCCGCCGCCCGCACTTGGCTCGCTGGGAGCCTCTAAGCCGCGGGCCGTAGGCGCGGTGACAACTTTGCGGCCGCCGGGGGCGCGGCTCTCCTGGGTGCGTGTGCGAGTGTGCATGTCACCGGCGGCCTCCTGGGGGCAGCAGCGGAAAGGGGGACCAGGAGAAAGAGGTAGCCTTGGCGCCCGGTGACCAAGGAGGCAGAGGACCCTCGCTGCGCCGGCTCACGAGAGCTAAACTCCGCCGGGGCTGTGCCCAGAGCGCGTTCGAAGGTCGCAGCAGGCACCCTCCAAGTCCAGCAGCGGTGACTCGCTTTAGGACTTCGATTCCTTTTGCCTGCCCCGGCGATAGCAACTGTATTTGCAGGCGAAGAAGCGGCAGCCGCGGCAGCAGCATCCCCAGCCCGGGTGGGACCATTGAGCCCCGGAGCCGGCGGCTGCAGGCAGGAAGGGAGGGTCGTGGCTCCGATCTGAGCGCATTCTCCAGGCGCCCGTCTTCCACAGCTGGCCCTCTCCCGGGCCCCGGGTGCAGGTTTCTAACAATGGTGCGAAGCGTCGGCGCGAGCCCCGCGTCCGCCCAGCGGTCGTAGAGGAAGTGGCCGGGCTCCGGGTGGGGTGGGCAGGGAGACGCCCCCCGCCACTCGCTAGCTGGAGTTTGCGCGGCTGGCCTCTACGGCCTCGGGTTCCTTTTGGGATCATCGACGGCGGCTCAATCCCGAGAGCATGGTGCCCGCGCCCGGGTTAATCTAGTTCTCTGTTCGCTCCTTTTTCCTCCTCCTTCTCCTCCTCCTCCTCCTCTTTCTCTTCCTCCTCCTTTCCCTCCTGCCGGTGCTGCCTCTGGGTTCCCGGCGTGTGGGAGTACAACTCTGCCTCTCCAAGGAGACCGGCTTGTGACCACTGAAAAGAACTTGTTCATTGAAAGCAAACCCGGAACAGCTGGATAATGTCCACCCCCAGCAGATTCAAAAAGGACAAAGAGATCATAGCCGAGTATGAAAGTCAAGTCAAAGGTAAGGATGGGAGCGGCTGCCTTGCTCCTTTTGTGTGCCTTCTTGTCATTGTGCTCGTGGAGTTGCGTTGCTAACTTGGTGTCTGCGTTTGAGGAAGGTGGCGAGGGACAGCTGGAGCCCTGGCTGAGCCTCCCAGGGCTTCCTACCAGCAGGTCGCAGTTTCAACCCCAGTCCCGTCAAACCTACAGGGAGCTAGATACCGAGTGGCTTCCTGGGGCTGCCAGCCGCACCTCCAACAGGGAGAGAACTGGCTGGAAGTTAACCACCTTTGGCTGGCAATTTACACGCGCAGGCCGGCAGCGCTGGTGGTTTCAGCTCAGTTATCATCAACATCATCATCATAATTCTTTTTAGATGAAATCATTGTCACAACATAAGATTTCTATGGAGTCATTTTGTAGAGTCTGAACACCAAGTGGTCTAGGGCTTCATAGAGTGAAGGCTATTTCAGACATTTACACTCTCCACTATTAATTTATTAAGGCAAGCTCCTCTTTTATAAAATAGCTTTGTAATATAGCCTGGCAGTTAAACCCAGCAGACTAGTGGGATCTGACTCCTCCTTTATAATGGGCTGGAATTGAGTGCCATCTTTCACACTCACATAAGAATATCGCTTTATCATTTGGAAGCCACTTGGATGTAAAATGAAGGTTTGAATATTTGAGTAGTAGTTTCAGTCCATTCACATTGTCAACTAATGAAGAAAACCTAATTAAGGTTGGTTAACCTCTTATTACTGTCTGTATCTTGTGGTTTAAAAAATAATATTTTCTCTCCAAGTATTTTGTTTTGCTGTTGAAGTGTTTAATAAACATATATGTGTTTGTTGGGTTTTTCCTCCTCTTGTGTGGTCTCTCCATAGCTTTCCTGATGGAGACAATGGATGGAGCCTTGAGATCACTGTTGTTCTTTGGCATATTCAATGCAAAGTTCAAAAAGATTGTTATGTCGACACCTGTGTTTGTCTATATACAGTCTTATGAAAGGGCTGCTGAGACAGGCATTACTGTATTTGCCTTGGGAAAGGCAGGAGGAGCCTGACTGTTCTTTTGTGTGGTCAAGTTGTGAAAAGACCTGGAGTCCTGTGAGAAGACCTGGTGGGGGTGGGGGTTCTGGTTTAACTGATGGTGAGTGTGAATAGGAACCAACTCATGGCCACCACCCAGACTTAGGTTTCCTTTAGGGTGTCCCCTCTAGTGGAGTTAAGCTAAGCATCATTTAAGAAACAGAATTTTTTTTTCCTGTCTGGAATTAAGATAATTTATACTTAAAAGAACTTATTACACTGATTTGGAAGTTATATTAGCAGAGAAGTAATTATTTCCTTAGAACCGGGTAAACTTTCTAATGAGGGTAACCATTCTTTTCTTAATGAGTCCCACACTGCCTAAAACCATTCATTCTAAGGTAGTACTCTTGTTCAATCACCATTTCCCTGGGCAGTTTTTCCACATGGCTCTTTGTGGCAGGTCTTTGAGGGGTGGAGATCTGGTTTTCTTGCTGCTTGAAGCACTGATTGGCAGAATGCACTTCCTAGTATTGGTTTAGTTATCTCTGCTCTAAGGTTATTTGCCTATGATCAAGTCCTTATTTGCAAAAAAAAAAAAAAAAGTATATATATATATATATATATATATATATATATACACAAACATTTTTTTCTTGATTAATTTCTTCTAATGTATGAAATTTGGGGGATATGTGTTTACCTGTATACTTGAGAGTGGATGCTCTTTACATTGATTAAAAATTAGTTAAATGGGATGTGTTATAATCTATCAAATCTAGATAAGGATGAATTAGGAATATGGTGAAAATGGTTTTTGAAACTAATTTTATCCCACAAAAAATGACCTCCACCTAATTCCCTTCAACCTTCCCCCTTATGCACATTCAAGATTCCTTGGGCAGCTTTAGGACTCTTCACTGTATCTGTCCTGCCCTGTGGCCAGACTTTACCTTTCCTCCTCAAGTACTTACACATCTGGTGTCTCACCTCCATCATTGCCTATATAGGCAAACATGGGAATAGGTTATTTCAGTAGATTTGGATCATAAACATATTAAATAGCAGAAACTGACCCTTATTTCTAGGCAAAATCAAGATGGGAGAGGAGAGAAATGCCAGTTCCGTAGTGCTTGAGGCCAGCTGTCCTGTGCATTGAGAGTAGGCCCTTGGTGGGAATAGTATGGGAGATAAGACTGTTTTCCTGTTATATTTATTGAATGCCTTTTCAAGGGGGAGCATCTTACCCTTGCAGAGTACCAATTTGTGATTTGGAATAGTCTAGCCAGCTACTTTATCTAATGATAAGCAAAATAAACTGGGCTGTTCCATTGCTGAAAGAAAACCTGGCTATGTGGGACTCATTAAGACACAGATGTGTTCCCAGTGAATTAAAGCCCTATATATTGGACTCTAGGTAGCTTAGATGTAGAGGTGATTTTTTTTTTTTTACAATAGTTTTATGTTGTTTTTATTTTTATGTGGTGCTGAGGATCGAACCCAGGGCCTCGAACATACTAGGCATGCGCTCTACCACTGAGCCCCAGCCCCAGCCCTGTAGAGGCAATTTTAAGAATCATTTTAATTGTGAGTAACTTTTTTCCATCTTCCCACTTAGAATCTAATACTCCGGGATGTTGGCTTTTCTTACTCTCTCCAAGTCCCTGATAACAATTGCTTTTTTCTCAGGATTTCTGAGATAAATATCTTGAACTAAAGGAATGATCTTAGATATGGGATTTTACCACTGTGACTTCCTCCTGAGGTTTTGGGAACAGTCTTCATGTGGCCATATTCAACTGTGAATAGAACCATTCCTGGTGACAATGTGTAATTTTATGTATGAGACCGTAACTGTGTCTAGTTACATGTATCATTCTACGCAAGTCATTTAGCTTCTTTCTGGGTTTTGGTTTTCTTATCTATAAGATAAGGAATTTGGACTCTTTTATTTCTTAGGGTTTCTGAATTTCATTGAAGATGTCATGTCAGTTCATATTAATTTCTTCATAAAATGTTCAGGCTTTTCAGTTTCTCTTGGCTTCCCTTAATCATTTTTGCTTTCATTCATTCTCATGATTAATCAGTTGAGTTCTTGGAGAATTAAAATGTAATGAAATAAAGAACACAGAAAAATAATAATCAAAACCATATTCAGCTAAATATAGCATAGAGTTGTAAGACAGGGAAAATCAGAAATTATACAAATCATTAATCAGGTGTGGTGGTACACTGTTGTAATCCCTGCAACTCCTGAGGCTGAGGAAGGAGGATGGCGTTCCAGGCCAGTCGGAACAACTTACCAAGACCCTGTCTCAAAAATCTAAAACAAAACAATGCAAACTGTTAAGAAACAGATAAGTTTGCATTAGGGACAAAGGCTACAATTTAAAGGAATGTGCTAACTTTGAGTAGAGAGATTGGCCATTTCATAAATGTTGGTCAGTTTCCTTTGAAAGACTTAGAATCAAGAGAAATAAATCTCTCATTTGTGTGAGCTGTTAAAAAGCAAGAGTGTCGGGCTGGAGATGTGCCTCAAGCGGTAGCGCGTTCGCCTGGCATGCGTGCGGCCTGGGTTCGATCCTTGGCACCACATGCAAAAAAGATGTTGTGTCCGCCGAAAACTAAAAAATAAATAATAAAAAATTCTCTCTCTCTCTCTCTCTCTCTCTCTCTCTCTCTCTTTAAAAAAAAAAAAGGCAAGTGTGTCTGGAAGAGTGTATGAAGCTCAAACCAGTTGACTCTGCTGCTTGTTAGCATCTTTGGCAAAAGCTGAGCAGTGGAAGAGATTGAATAATTGGCTAACAGAAGGTTTGGGGATTATCTGAGGCTTTTAGTGATCTGCGCAATTTCTGTAATCTGCTGGAAAAATATTGTGGAAGTATACATATGGAACCAAAAGAGTAAAAAGGCACACTTTATGAACTGTAACTCTTGGATGAGAGATTGTGTTTGTTTTAATGATACATACTTTTAGTTGCTAAGGATTGACAGCTCTCATTCGCAGTAATTTACTGAGGATAGCCTCATACTCCTTGACATGGGATATGTACAGGAAGTGCCAAGAAAACCTGTTGCTCTTGATCACTCTGCTGCCTGAAATATAAATAGTACATTTTGCTCTGCAGATGGAACCTAAGGAAATGCAAATTTAATCTGATGGCTGCCTATCATGCCATAGTTTTTTTTTTAATATTTATTTTTTTAGTGGTAGTTGGACACAATACCTTTGTTTTATTTATTTATTTTTGTGTGGTGCCGAGGATCGAATCCTGAGCTTTGCGCATGCTAGGCAAACACTCGACCGTGGGGCCACAACCCCAGCTCCATGCCATAGGTTTTTAATGTGGAAATTAAAAATATTACTGCTACTAATGTGGAAATTCTGTGTACTTTTATTACTTTGATATAACCTAGATTGGAAAATAGCAACAATTTAACTTATGAACAAAAACATATAACCTGGATTGGAAAATAGCAACAATTTAACTTATGAACAAAAACTTTATAGCTGGGAAGGACTCAAACATTTCTTGTCCAACCCATTTATTATATGATGCAGGGAGTCTTAATGACAGATGTATAACTGCACAATTAACTATAACATCCTTGAGAGGATAACCTAGGTCATTTGCTTTTTGATAGTGGTTATTTGCTTTCAAATTTCTTAAAAAGCAGATATCTAAATAGAAGATAGGATACTTATCTATTTAGACTTTGAAGGAATCTTATATGGACCTAAGAAAGAATAAAAACTCTAGTCTGTGAACAGGAGTAGGTTATAACTAAGTTATATTTTGCGGTGGGGAGGGGCATTCCCTAAGATAATTTCAAGGGACTAACCATTGTTCTTAGATAACAGCTTCATATGGTGGCTTTTAAGGTAAAGAAAATGACACCTGAATGTACACAAATGTAATTTGCTTGATATTTTGGTGAAACTAATTGCAGCTACTGCAGCAAAGCCCCTTTACCTGATTAGTTTTCATAA